AACACAATCAACCTCCCCCCCCCCCCCTTCTTTTCTGTGACTCCTCCCCAAAACTCCCCTGGGAGCTTGAGTGAGCTGTAAAAATTCTGCTTACCTTCTGTGGAAGACAGGCTGTTCCTGCCTAGGCATCAGGGAAGTGGGGAATGCATTCAAACAACCAAGGGAAGCAGGGGCTACAGAGTGGCAAAATAGCTGGCAAAATTCAAATGTCAGGTTGCAATTCAAAGCATGCCAGGTGCTACCCTGTATACTTTTGATAAAGTATTTTATTATTTGCATCTGACATCATTCAAACTGAACTCTCTTCCTTGCAATCCCCTCTCCCTCCTAACCAACTCCTTTCAAACCTCCCTGACTCTCCCTTTGTTTTAAAATACTACAAGAAATGAATACAGGTCTCACCTGTGACTTTTTGCCTGGTTCCTTCAACAGACTGCTCTTCCATAGGCTGATACTCACAGGCTATCTACTACCCTTTAGATAACACCTACTTCCATGAGATCACCAATAGTTGGCTGGAAAATAGGAGACAAAGTCAGGCGAAGATCCTTATTTCTCACTAAATTAGTCTTTTTACTCTTTACAGTGTTTTCTTTTAAAAGAAAACAAAAATATTTTTAAACAAAAACTTAACCACCATAACCAAAGACTGGCTGATGAAAGGATGTCTAAAGCATGAAGAGATCTGTACTAACAGATCTGAGAAAACTACCAAATTATTCACATAGGCGTACTGATTACCATTGACTAAATTATGTCACCTAAGAGAACGATATCAGAAAAGAGAGGAGGGGGTCAATTTTATGGAATTTGTCAGGCTTGTTGCAAGTAACAGCTCATCCTTGTACCCCAAAAGTGTGTTCCTTATCTTAGACAAAGATAAGGAACACGGAATCAGTGATTATACTGATATACAGTTACTCAGAATCGGTGATTATAATCTAACCTAGCATAATTTCTCAAAATCAATGAAGGAAACTAAGCCTTAAAAAGAATACATACTTGTGTCATTCCAAGTCTGCATCTCAGATATTGAAGATACTTCGTTGACATACAAAATCCTTTTCAGGAAAATGTTAACGTTACGCTCATCTGGAAAGGAAGCTCTCTTCTGGCTCTTCCAAATACTGGAGTTCAGCTTGTTGTAGTCTACCTCTCACCACCCTTCCCTCATACCAGCTCAAATCATGACATCCCAAAAAGTAATCCTATGTAACAGCTATTCATGTGCTTGTCTTTTCTTCTGGCTTTTTTATTTCTGTTACATAGGCCAATATATTCTAAATAAGAACATTTAACTCACAGGAAAAATTCACATTTTGTGTCATGGCTTAAAAAACCCCCAAACTTACTAAAGAGAAGTAACTTAGAGTCATGTTCTGTATTTTTTTCAAAATTGAAGCATCCTATTTTGGTCGAGTTCTGACCGATAAGCTGGGCAAAGGGTCTGCCACGGCCCAGACTGCAAGTTCTCTCCAACATTTCTGGAAAATTTATAAGTTTTCAATTTGTTTGTTTTTTCTGCTATTTCTGCTTAGTTTTGGGCATATTCCACTAGATTAACTCTTGGTAAAGCATAAGCATCTATCTTGGTATTCAGCTGCTATGGAGAATATTAAGAAGTTTCCAGCACTTCCACAGGAAAAAATCTGCTTCAGTGTGGACTGGTACAACCTTGATTGCCAAAGGTTGCACAGGAATGCATACTTACACACACAGAAACAACACATGGGGGAGAATGAATGTCAAGAAGCAGCTTGAGAAAAAAAAAAAAATGACCAATCATTAATTCAAAATATGGACAGCTTTCAATATTATCACAATTTCTAATGTGATACTTTTGCATGTATTTTACCATTTGTCAAGTTTTCCAGATTGTCTCATTCAAACATATACCTAATACCGTTATTTTGTTACAGCATTTTTTAATTCTTTTTAGAAGTGCAGCATATGTACGTCTTCTAATTTTTTTATACCATACATATCTCATTCTAAACTTAGAGGTTTCCATATGTGTCATTAAAAAGCACGTAGACAAAATATTTTATGGTATCTATAATAAATGCAAAGAAATCAATACAAACAAAACTTGGCTTAGCAAACTGTACATACATAAATATGTTCTTTGTTTTTAAACTTGACATTCAACATTTTTCCTCATAAAACCTTTTACGATCTTATTTATTACATCCATTTTTTTAAACCTTAAAAAAGTGCTTCTCAGATTTACACCTTGTGCATCCAAAGCAAAAGTCTGAACACCATGCCCGAAACAGAAACCACGGGGAATAATACATTGCCATACAAGATCCTTTAAAACTGTATGTTACAAATGCTCTAAAATTTCTTTAGCATTGGTTATTTTGTATACTGTAGATACTGAGAGGGTAGTTAACAAAGACTGGCTAATGGCTCATTTAGAGCAGCACACAGGAAAGGATCTACAGTATCGAGTCCTTGGCTATGCATAGTACAGGGCAATGACCTGGATATAAAGTGGCTAAAAGATCCAGAATGCTGGACAGAAGGACATTTCCCTCACACATGTCACATCCTCCCTAGTACCTGGGATGCGAGTATAGAAACAATGCTACTCAGGTAATACGTTGTGCAGTTTGATACTGATACACTGATGTGTTACTAGCTGAGTGCCAGCAGAGAATGATATGGACACAGCGGTGGCTACAGCAGGTAGGTAAAGCTGCCGCACCGAATCTTGTCACCCCTTAAAACCATCCTGCCTCCCAGCTAGCGCTCCAGCAAGGTCACCTGCTGCCTCACGGGTCTCCTTCATAACGGAGGTGGACCATTCATGTATTTTAGCATGGGGTGGAAAGAGCGGGCAAAGTTGTTGGCCATAGTACAGCTGTAGTCCTCCTCGGTCATTGGCACCAGGCAAGCCAGCCCGATCAGGAGCAGCAAGAGAAGCTGAAGTGGCAGAGCAGCTCTGAGGACTCTGAGGAAGAAGGACGGGCGCCGCCATGCTGGCCCGGCCTCAGAAGGGGAGGAACCTGAGCCACCTCTTGTGGACCTGAGAAAAAGAGGACGGACAGGTGAATACACTAAAATATTACTGTGGCGGAGGTTGCCCTTGGGCACTCAGCCTTCCCTGATGGCTGGTTCACAATTTGTACAGACTTTGACTGACAACTGCAGAGGTATTTTTCACAGAACATGCTATTTCCCTAACAATCTTAAGAGACCTTGTATTTCTAGACCACCAAATGATCACAATAAAATGTGACCCCACAGCCCCTTCGTCAGCTATGGGGAAAACTCTCCACGTCAAGCACTGTGCTCTAGAGAAGGGGAAATGAAAGGTGGGCCATACCTGTCACGTGTTCAATGCACACTGTCTAAAAAGGAAGCCTTCTTGTTTAAAATGGCAGTTGCATTTGGTTTGCAGAAGTTTCTACACACATTTCTGTATACAGTATCCACAAGGGTATAATGCATTAAGCTTCAGTTACTTCAATCTTAAATTAATGAATACACCATTATGCAGGCAACGGGGACCCATTTTCTACAAAGTACATTGTATTTTGACTCTTGCACTGAATCAGCAGTTAAACCCTATTTGCTTAACTGACTTGACACCATCACCTTCTGTGTGATTTTCTCCCTTGTGTCTGTGGATCTGATTTGAAATGGCACAAATCTATCACAAGTCTATGGGAGAGGCAAGACCTAACACAAACGTTTCCAAAGGGACACTTCAAATTAAGCACAAAAAAATCCCATCTATTTTTTAATGAAGGATAAGATATAGATTTCACATTTTCCTTTTTGACTGAAACTGTCAGAGCTCTAATGTACGGATGACAGGTTTTGAGATAAGTGGATGACTGAAAAGAGTGATTATGCAAGTTAAAATCTGATGGTCTCAGTGTGCTAATTAAATATCATGGGAAAGTATTGTATTTTAGCACTAGCCAAAATGGAAGAACTTAGAGCCTTCAAATAATTTGCTTCAAGAACTTTTCCATTAAAACATTAGATCATGAATTTTGTCTTACACATGTTGTTATAAAACATCTGTGTGGCTGCTATGATTATGAAGCCCCAGAAAATCTATAGTTTGCTAGGGTTTAAGAGAGAAAAATGCTCATAAGGACGGATTTAGTTTCAACTTGAAGGTGGCTGAAGTCAAATGCTCCCCAGTAAAGCAAGCAGGGGTAATGGTTCCTTACTGTCTCCTTGCCTTCCCCTTGTCCTTTTGATCCTGTCCTCCCAGATAAAAAACTGAATCTGTGTGAGAAAGCATGCAAAAACTGAAGTATCATCTTCAAAACTGTTCCAGGCCTGGCAAGGGTCCCCTTCCCATATGTTCAGAAAAGAATTCTTTCTATGCTTGAGATTATTTTTATTGTCTTGTTCATTTATGTGTACCATCCCACTATGAAGGCTTCAAGAAAGCCAGTAAGATTTGGTAAAGTTTAGATGACCAACAGGTACATAAACACTCAGGTATGCTAAATGATTAACTTGACCTAAATATCCCAGGAAGGAGCGATGATCAAAACCTCAGATAGCATGTTGTTCGATTCCACATTATTGTAGCCCGGATGGAAAGCTGCTTATCGCATAACGTAAGATCACGTATTATAAAGAACATATTGAAAGGATATGGCACATTTAACAGCATCAGAGCATTCCATATTAAAGTTCAATTAGATCAGGACTTCTACTGTCTGAGAATGCCAAGACAGAAAGTTAATGGACTGAGGTAGGAACAAAGGGAACAAGGAGTGCTTAATTACCTTCCAAGCATTTGATTGCACAGTCTAGCTATTTACAAGGCTCTCATTGTACACATGTTGTTAATCCTAACCGAAGGTGGCCACATTTCTGCAGTTGGTAACTACTCTTTGATAATGAGCAAAGTCTGAATTTTCTTCACTGACTCAGAGTTACTCTGGGGCAACACAGAAGGGGCGTTTCCAAAAAGCAGACTCAAAAGGGAACAGGTAAAGTTAGCATCTAATTTTTCTTTTCCTGTGGCTTTAGTAGCACAATCCATCTCTTTTTGCTTTGTGTTTCACCAAAAAAAAAAAAAAAAAAATAGAAGAAGAGTGGTATGTGTAAACTGCATGGCTGATCTCAACAAGAAACCTAAACTTTCTTTCAAAAATTAAAATGGTTCATGGCAAAATTTTTCAAAACACTTTTTCTGCAGTGAAGTAGTGTTGAAGGATAGTTTCTAATACTGCATGGAAACAATTAAACAAGCAAATAATGAAACATTACGAAAACATCTGCAGAGGGGGAGTTCTAAAAAGTTCGAGTGCTGTACTGCCTGTGTTTATTGCAGGTATGCTCCTGTAATCTACATAATTGGCTGAAAAATGGAACGGCTCAGCTTAGAGTGTTTAATGGATTTGGTAAGGAGAGATGGTTAATAAATGTACATTGTTAATAAAAAAGGTTCACTATTCATAAGGGCCAGAACTCCTACTTCGTCCTGTAGAAGGAAAAGCTGAAGTACTGTATGCTGCTTTGGAGAAAAAAGTAATTTCTTGCATCTCTAGCTGTCTCTCCTCTGCTCCATGGTTTGTCAGACTGGCCCCTGTTTGAGGAGGGAAGGAAGTAAGGCCGTCTGCTACATGCTCCATACACAATTCCTACTAACTTGATAAAATGGGGAGGCACAGCTGCAGACCTGGCCAGCAGTAAGCTTCCCCATGTCAAGAAATCTCATAAATTAACCGAAGAAGTGCAAGCAATAGTTACCCTGACTTTGAGATTTCATAATGTCGGTGAAATTGGAACTCTTTCCTAAGCATTTCAAGAGAGGAGAAGGTAATTTACCAGGCTATAGATCGGATGGGCTAAGTGAAATTTAATTTCAGCTCAGACGAGTACCTTCTTTTAAAGATGACCGATTTTTTTTTTTCAAGGAAAATATGGTTGAAGTAATCTATCTGTATTGCAGTAAACATCTGAAAGATTATGACAGAAGAATCTATCATTCAAGCGAAGCTGATAGGAATAAATTGTGAATTCAATTGGGAAGTGACTAATGGAATGCAGACAACAGGTTTACATTGAAAGAGGCACTGCTGGGCTAGTAGGATGTAATTACTGGAGTTAATCAAGGATGAGTCTTGATTTAATATCTTTATGAAATGACTATGGCACAAAATAGAAGAACAGCAAATTTCATCTGTATGATGACAGAAGTTGGAATTTTTTGCAAATACAAAACAGGATTGGCTTCTTGCACAGAAAAAGGTGGGTGAATCCAATAGGTTTAAGAAGTATCTCAAGGGGTTTAAGATTACAGTACGTAAGATAGCAATAAAAACCTCTGCTATAAATTTGGAAGTTCACACTCTGAAGATAATGAAGAGAATCTAGGATAGCCACAAACCAATGATGTGGCTTGGGAATAGCTGTGACAAAGGACAAAAAAAATTTAAAATACATTTCAGTTCAAGATTTCCAGAAGAGAAAAGTGGTTGTTTTAATGATGTTCTGTAAGGCACTAGTCAGATCTTACCTGGAGCATTCAGTAGCATTTTGGTTAAAATCTGATAGATTAATTCAAACTTACACAAGCTTAAAGGAGTAAAAAAATTTGAGCATTTCTCCTATGAAGAAAATAAAGAGCTGAGCTTACCAACGTAAAGCCCGAGCAGTACTAAAATTACCCTCTAAAAAACAGTGCAGAACAGACAGAACAAAGGGTAAAAATTGTTAAAGGAAGGGATAATGTTGCCGCAAAACCAAATTACTACATCTAACCATCGATATATTCAAAGTGGAAATCATTGTACTGGCAGACAATCAGAGAAATTAAATTTGATAATGACCTTCTAATAGACTTTTTTTCCCCCCACTGATTCTAACTTTTTAAGATGGAGGTTGCTAGAGTTATGAAGGAGAAGGTGTGATACTCTGCTGACAAGAACAGGCAACAACTCCTCTTGGTAGCCTAAGAGAATCTCTAGGAGTGACCTTGTTTGGCTGCATTCTGACCTCAGTTCTCTCCCTAGCTCTCAGCATCACATCACCCCAGCCTCAGGTTTGGCTTACCCTGTAAAGAAGATGAGTACGTTCATTTCAAAGGCAGTTAAATATGAAGTTTAAGTAACAAGCTCCAAGTGAGAGAGCGATGGATAACTGGGAGAACAACCATGATAATCCAAGCCCAAACCTCACATTTGAGCTACTGTGTGGCAACAACTGCCATTTTGTGGCCAGAGGCACAGAGAGTGCTCTGGCCTGGTCTGCTCCAGGAACAGCAAGTGACCTTTAAAGATCCACCAGTCATTTGGGGAGGCTTGGGGAGAGCAGGAAACGGAGGTTGGCACTGTGGCACCAAGGCTTAAATACAGCCGCTCAAGAGAGACAATGTAAACAACCCTGAGCAAACTGAACCACTATTTTAATCTTTTTAACATCTTAATCACTTAAAAAAAAATCCACAGGCACAGATCCAGGTGTGCATTTATGACAGCTCTATTAAACCGATGAAGAAAGAGGAGTTGCTTCTTGGATTTGCTTTTCCCACTTAGCACACAATTACTAACACTTCTCGAGTGAGCCTTTAGTTAAATCCACAATGTAACGTCTAGTACAAGCTTGTACCTTGCTTAGCATCACACTATGTATGCTCGTCTTTTTGCTGTGATCAGGGGGAAGGCAAAGTGATCTCACACTTGTTATACACAAAACATGGCCCCTCTAATTTTTTAATGAACTTTCCTTCACAACCTTCTATGTGATAAACCTAAAATTGACTTTAGTTCTCCTGTATACTAAACTCTAACAGGGTTTGCTGATCCAGTGCAAGATCAAACACAAAGTACTCTGATCAGAGGCATGTCAAAATATTAAAGAACACAGTGACAGCTTGTACCGCTTTATCAGTTAAAACCACATTATACATCAACCACAACCTGTCTGGCTTGCGCATTTGATTAAGTTTCCTATTCAGCAGTGACTCATTTGTATTCCATGCTTGTCTGAATGACAAATTGAACATTGTGTTGTACTGCTACAAGATGTGTTAATAAACAGTGCTGGAAAGACTTGATCTGAAAGGTGCCGCACCAATGCCACTGCTAGAAGAGAGGTTGATCTCAAAGCTGCAAAGCACTGCTTAGCTGCTCTTTGAGCCAGCGGCTCGCACCTACAACCAGAGACCTTCTCAAAAGGTTGGCAGAGTGGTCTGGCTATTCAGGAGAGCAGAAGAGCACACACAATGTGTTTTTTTGAGTACAATGTTGCTAGCGCAAGCGTGCTGATCTGCCGAAAACATCCTCTTTTCCTCCTAGCTGTTAATGGCTGCGGAGTAAAGCCCCACCCCTCCCTTTTCCCACTCCCTCGAAGAAACAAAATGCCAAGCTTCATAGCAGGCTGGAGTTGGAAAAATTAGTTCTCGTTTCCCATCAGACAGAAAATGAAGTGTACACGTCACCTATTTTCTATGTGGTTTCTTTATGTTTCAAAGAAAAAAAAAAAATCTCCCTAAAAGTAAGGCAACTTCTTAGTGCCAGTGGAAGCGGTGGAAGATACTCTACCTGTTCTATCTGCTCTCCTAGGTGGTTTCGCAACTGTGCCACTTTACTCACAGTCACTAACTACACATATAAAGCAAACTGGTTTTTTGAGAAGTGTTTCTGAAAATATCTACACGGTAAGTAGTTTTATTCTTTATTTCATTTATATTTGAGAATAATTTTGCTGAATAAAGCCTTGATTTTACTCATGAAAAAAATAATACTCTTAAGGTATTTTTTGTCTGCTTGGTTATTGCTCAATCATTGTATTAAATCTAGTGTTGCCTTCTTTCCAATATCAAATCTTTTGCTTTAAATGGAGTTATTTTAAAAATGAACTAGTTAAGTTTCAATATATAGAGAATAAATGAGATTTGGGACTTAACTAGAAGAACAAATATATTTTCATCACACTCTCTGATTATTTTAGGTGTTGCAACACATAAGATGCTGAAATAGCAAAAGACGTCCTCTTTATACGCGTTGGCCTGCTCATTTACTTTTTTTTTTCCTTAACTTCATAACTCTAGAGGCTAGTGAACTGATCAGTGAAAGAGTGAAGGTACACACATCACACTGACAACAACAAAGAATGCAGAAGCACTGTTAGCTGCAGAGATGACAGGTTGCTGGAGACAAGGTGGAAAGCAAAAAGCTGTAGCTGCAAGCCTGCTCTCTACTGGGCAGACAGAGATGGGGCAGTGCTGCTCCCAGAGCAATACATGGATGCAAGCACTTAGCAGAGTCATGGCAATGTTAGCACGTTATACTGCAGTCGTCTTAAGAGGGGAGAGAAAGTGGCCCCAAGTCTCAAACCACTCAAATTCTGACTTTTAATTTTGAGTCTTAAATACTGAAAACCCACAAACTGAACAAAACATTTCAGGGGGGAAAAAAAAAAAAGAAAGAAAGAAAGAAAAGGATGTTAGTATGTCTCATCCAGATCTGTGGGTTTTGTGAATTCTAAAATATGGTATTGGCCTATTACCTGCCTTAATTTAATATCTAGAGTTAAAGAGGATGATAAAAAGTGTTTGCCATGAACCTACTGGTATTTCTGTTAAATCATGCCAAAATAAAATAATCATTAAATATCGCGAGTGTAAATGCACACTCACTCTGATCAGGCATGTGAAAAATAAATGTTGATTACTACAAAGAATTTGAAGTAATTGAGAGCCCCTTTTGTCAAACTATTAACAAAAGGGAAGTTTTCACTTATTTAAGTCCTGGCCACCTGATGGAGTCGGTGTGGACAGAGAGGAATCACGGCCAATTTCCATCATCCTCTTGGGGTTCTAGAACAGAGTGCGGAAACCAGGAGAATAAGGTACCTGCTATGTGGACTGCTGACAGAGGGTCCAGGCTGTGAGAGACTACATTTGCCCCGTGGCTGTTTGCAATGAACAGGGGGTAAAGAAAGAAGAATGTTCAGTCCAGGCAAATAAAGACAAGCTACTGATGAAACTAAATTAAAAGTGCAGCAAAAGAAACATAAAACCAAAAAAAATAAATCAAATGAAGTGATCAATACCCATGAACCAAGGAAACTGGCTTTTCTTTGTGCCTAGCTGAGTATGGAAATGATTGGAACATACACAGTGAACTTGAAAAAAACAGTTCAGTCATTATGTTTATCAACAGTTGCTCTGGATTTAAAAAGAAACACTAGAAATTTAGCTCAAATAATTTGTAATACAAAATAGAAAAAAAATTTATTGAGTTGAATATGGGCAAATATAGATATTGCAAGATGCAAACGCGGCAAAATTCTTGACATTCTCAAGGAAAAAAGGTCCAAGGGCCTCCTTTGACGAGCCTGGCTTAGTCTCCATCCCCACCTCCCCCACAATTTTGAAGGCCAAATAACTGTAGGTGCACTCCTGCACTCACAACTATTTGCTGGAATATTTAATGCAGTTAGATGATTATAATTCTGATTGTATTTTTGGTACTAGTATTAATTTATGTAGCATCAGTGTATTTGGCACAGAAATTCTAAATAACATCACTTCAGTCTCCAAAATTGTGGGTGCAAAAACCAGAAGTTTGAAAAACAGACCCCAAAGCATTATACAACTTTGCTGTATGTTATGGACAAAAATAAAAAAAAATAGTCACGTACATAAAAACTAACACATTAGAGAGAGGCAAATTCTTATTAAAATGTTAAGATGAAACCTATTATAATTCTACATACTCTTTAGACAAAGATTTTATGGTAAAATCCTTCTCCATTTCCTGTAATGGTCAGGCATCCTCCAGCTAAATCTGTGATATCAGCAATTTATTAATTTTTTAAGTTTAAATTTCAAAGATAAAAGCATTGACTTCTGAAATAAAATGTTAAGGTTTATATTCCTTCTCCTTTTGAAAAGCCAGTATTCCTTTACATTCTCATACTAGCATCTAAATGGAAACTAGTGAATGTAAAAAAAAATAAATAAAATCAATTTCAAGAGCCATAAAATTTATCAGGACAGAACTCAGAGGCTTTACAAAAAGTGCAAATGGGAAAAAAGAAACCAAAACAAAAAAACCAAAACCAACTTGATTGTTTTAAGAACTAAGGAAAAAAGCAAAGTAATCAACCAATAGAATTGCAGCAGAAGACAAAATAATTGCAGTTCCATTTTGGGCTCAGAGTATGGAAGTGTTAAGTACTAGGCATGTATTGCTATATTTCTTGAATTTTGTGCCAGCGATGTAAATCGACAACTCCACTGTTGCCATCATAGCATTGATTGGGTCCTGTGCAACTAGCTATTTTGAATAAGGTTTTATGCCCTTCAGCTCTACTTAGCCATTCATCCAAAGTCTCAATAAGACCATCTGCAACCTTCATCAGAAATGGCAAAAAAACCTTATTGAGATTCTCGATGAAGCAGCTCTGAAGAGAAGGCCAAACAGAAATGGAGGACTGATTATACCAGACAAGACCAGACTTTGGGGTGTTGCCATCACTAGAGCAAAATACAAGAGACACGACATGCCATACCATGGTAAACCAACCACACTGACAGCCCTGGTTTTAGACAGTATTTACCACTTCTGATTTCATGCAGAATGGGATATGCAGCAGGGTTGGGGAAAGCAGCTGTGTTTTGTTCTTGGTTTATGCCATTTCCTTTCCTATCAAGTGAGAAGGGGGGCCTTCCAGCTGGCTAGAGCTACTGTAGACATCTAGATCAACCACCCAGGAGGTGGCAGAAAATACATGACACGAAATTACCGTTCTCTGTCTGCTTGGAGTACTTCTTCCAGATACAGGACTCACTGAGCCCGATGTGTCTAATTCATCAGCAGAAGACCATGAGGACAATTCCTAAAGTTCAGAAGGAATGGAGCTGAGAAATACAGCAACTAGCTGTTCAGGTAAGCAAACTAAAAAAAACGTCCTGAGTGAAATCCCAGCAGTTATTTCCAAAGCAAATAAAATAAAGCAGTTAAATTTTGTTATCAAATTCTGTAAGACTAAGGCATTACATGTTTTCTCTGCTAGCCCTGAAGGAAAAGAAAAGCAAACAGGTAGTTAAAACTTAATTGCTTCAGGTGACACATTTTCCACCAGAGTGAATACAGGGGAAAAAACAGTTGCTCTTTATTGGCCTTTAATCACAAGAAGAGGTTGGTACCACCAAGATTTTACTTAAAGAGGCAGAAATTCACTAGAAGGAGAGAAGAGCTGAGTTCTCATGCCTTATGCACTCTGTTACTCCAGGACTTTAAAAAAAGTTAACTAAAGGAGAATCTTGAAATCTTTACTTTATACCTGCCATTGCTGCCGAAGAGGTATGCATAACTTCCTCTCAAATATCCTGAGACGCATGATAATTTGAGAAGATTTGGAGTACAGCTTAAAGCTCAGAAGGCACTATGAGAGATTTGCTAGCTGATTACAGAATTTATTTTATACTTTTTTTTCCTCTTTGGCAGAGTGAGCATTATCTTCCTTTCCAGTGACAACTGACACACTATAATTTTCAGTACTGCAACTAGAATAATTATCTCGTATACTTTGCCAGTTGACTGAATCAGTAATGGCAGGATAAACAAACCAAGATGTTCAATACTTATTGCTATACCAAACAGCAAAAAATTACTGTATTAAAAAACCCCACCATATCACAAAAGAGATGTTTACATTATGAAGTGTAAGATTACTTTATGATATTCGAGATTACGCATGTGCTATCTTGATAAGTATTGCAAACAACAGAAACAGTGCAGCCAACAGCACTGACCAGAGAAAGACAGTCAAAACAGTGGGAAACGTGTGCCCAACAAACAGCAAGGAATAAAAAGACATGACTTACCAGCTGACTACTTGAAATGTCTAGAATCTTCTCTAGGTCTTTAATATGACGTGTGACCTCTTTCAAGAGGAGCTTCAGTCTGTTTCCAATGACATGCACCTTTTCTTTGGCTTCAAGACAATCCTTGCCTTCAGCATTGACTAGCAATTGGCAGGACATATCTTGCAGTGACGCCACCTTCAACTGAGACTCCAGCAGTTCTCGTCTGATTTGCTGTTGCCAAGGCAAGCACCAGGTTTTTTTAACGGAATTTAAAAAAAAAAAAAAAAAAAAAAAAAAAAAAAAAAAAGGAAAAAAGCTAGAACTCACATAACTGGACATTTGAAATTAAGGAAATGGAAAGAAAAGAGAAGCAATAAAAAATTCTTATCTGCCAGGAAGATAGACAGCAGCCTAGCAGTTGCTAGCATGCAATGTACAATACTAATCCTCAAGAGAAAGATAAATCTGATTAGGTGTTTTTCTCATCAGGCATTTTGGGAGAGAAAGGGGTGATTATAGCCCTACCAGGAGAAGTCTGTGATGATCCTGCAGTGTTTCTGAGTCCAGGTTTGGATTGATGGGCACAATCTCATTTTTTCTTCTGTCAATATTCTCTAACCAAAGCAGCAAACCATGGCTCATTTCATGGAAATCCTGCAAGTGATTAGTGATGCTTTTATTAGCTTAGCAATAAATTCTAGTCAAATTCAGGTTTTTAGTGTATCCTATAATAGGTCTTACTGGCTAAATAACTTGCAAGGAAGTGTAGAATAGTATATCAGAATACTATTCCAGAGTTGCCAAATTTAGAAAAATCTTGGGCTGGAAACGTATGCTTCAGGTAGTGCAGGTGCATCTTTCAGAAAACACATACCAAAGCTGTATTTTGGCTTGTATGGACAAGTTTCAGACTGGATAATGAGCACACCGGATAACAATATGGTTTACATTTTTGATGTGTGAGATGCTGACAGTTTAAAGTAAGCGCAATACAGACCTGGCACTGCATTAATGCATCCTGCAATGAGCAGCGCCACTCTTCGATCATATTGCATACATGGTCCCAGCGCACATTCATCTGAGACAGGCGCTCTTGAAGCTTCTTGCTCTCTTCGCTGTCAGACTGAGTGAACTCTGAGCTGCACAGATTGATGGATAAGATGATCGCTTTGCGGTTATCAATTGCTTTCTGCAGCTCCTTGATGATAAGACAAAGTGGGGCGGGGGAAGAAAGGATGCAAACCAGTAAAACAGGTGACTTTCAGAAGAACCAAGTAGAGAAAGCGCCGCAAGAATGCAGTGATTTGCCATCAGCAACTGCAGAATGGTACACTACTGTAACAGTCTCTTTACTCTGGATATGAGATTCCTGTGCTCACTCTGCAAATGTTCACTCTTTAACATCCACTAAAATTTTACTGTGAGCATAAACTAGAACAAGCCAATTAAACTTGTAAAGTCTTAAAAGTCTGAAGTCATGGTTGAATTTTAAAGAACTGGCTCATGTTTCAGATATTTTAAAGACAGAGCAGGTCCAACAAAATTTAAAGAGATGTAGGACAATTGTACTTTAGCTCACAATAAAACTTTTGCCCTCACTTCTCAGTTTTGCTGATAAACATAAAAACCAACAACCAAGTGGAAACTGCTGTCAATGGTATTTTAAAATAAAAGCTTTTACTGAGGGAAAAGAAAACATACAAAGAATATAAACAACTTACTCCAATTTATAGAAGCAGGACATGTATAAACCCTCTGATTTGTTTACATTGGAAGCCACAAAGGAAACCCCACCTCTTTTGGTTTGGAGGGCACTAATGGGCTTTCCAAGAGTGGCTGAGATAAGAACAGGATTCTTATGAAATGCCCCCTTTCCCACCTACTTTACAGTATTTACTTAAAAGTCCCATGTCACAGTGACCTTTGTATTACTTATGGCAGCTATATTTGGATTCCAGTGAAGATCAGCATTAATACGCTTTAGAGATGGATCACTGCCGGAAACAGTCTTTACTATCTGTCCACCTCATTCCTAGCATGGAGCACAGTGCATTTTGACATTGGCTCGCACATTTTTGTGCCCAAGCTTATAAGATGCTAGTAACTGAATATGAAGTTGTGGACCCGCACATTTGCAGATCTTTAGAGCTGTAAAATACCCAGGTGAGATCACAAAGGCAGCATTCAGATCCTGATCCATCTGAGATGACAGAAGAAACAGGATTGTTGCAAAGTTAAACCAAATTTTTCCTATATTGTACTGGTGACAGCAGTGGGTAGGCTACAACCCCTTTGGGCACTCTGTCCTTCCTCCACAGAAAGTAATATGTCCCAGTGAGGCATTTCTTTTGTAGTAGCTATTTTGTTACCAGTTTGACTAGAAGAGATTTGATTTAACTTTTTTCTTTTCTTTTTTTTATTTTTTTTCCTCTTTCATCACCTTGGCTGACATCAGGCATTATCTGTACATTCAGGAATTACAGAATCGCCACAGAATTACTATTTCAAAAATTCATTTGGATTATACAGTAAATGCCAGTGGCATATTTTGCTGCCAAAAGGTGATTCATAAAATCACTTTTCCAGTTAATTCAGTTGTCAGCAGTAGCCGAGTGGAGCAAACGAGCCACAGCTATTAGCAACCTCTTCAACATACCTGTTGCACTCAGATCTGTTTACAAGGCAACTCATGGAAGAGAGAAATATAACTCACTTTCAGTTTTTTAATTCTGAGCTCAATAGTTTGTATGTCAGTGCTGAGATCAAGGCGGCGGAGCTTCTCCAGTTCCTCTTCAGTTTCTCCCAACCAAGACCAAATGCTATTAAGGTCAGAGTTAAACTGCTGCCATTGCTGAAGGTTCTGCTTCATCCTCAGCTCCTTGCTTAGAGCTTGAGCCTGGATTAATTCCCATCGGTCAATTACACCTGGAATGATAAACACCAAATTCAACAAAAGCAAAAAAACCCACTAGCCACACACGCAATTGCATCAGTTGAATCCTGTGCAGGACAAAAAAATGCTCCATAAACCCCAAAAGCTGTAACCCACAAAATACCACACTGCAATCTAAGTTAGATTGAAGAACATGATGTTGGAGAGAAAGAATGAAGAATATGGATGATTCCAGGCAGCAGGCAATTTTACCACTTCCTCTTGTCAGACTTCTATGAACAGAATTAAGTTAATACATGCAGGTTTCTAAAACAGGTTATTCTGGCATAAAGACATCATAAATTAGCATAAATGCAAAGCAGACAACGAATCTGAGTACGTCTAACTAGCCACATGTTTATTATTATTTTCATTGGTATTTGTATCTATCGCAATTTAATACTCACACCTTTCTGCATTTGTCTAAGCTACTGCTGATGCATTGGTTAAATACCTGCACTAAAAATAAATAAATTAGGGGCCATTTCTTCTTGTTAGTTATCTTGAAACGCTATGGCAGAAGGACAAGTTGTATCATTCCATCAACTTAAAATTAAAAAAAAAATCAAAATAAAATAGACTGCAAGGGCAGCATATCTTGTCAAGCGGAGAATGGATACATTGCCTTTATAGTCTCTGGAACAAATCCATGTTTTTACAATGCAATACCTCCTGTTCTACATTGATGCTTAAAACCAGTCAGGTGAATACTTCTACCAGGTGAATATAAATTTCTGTACTGTAGACAGATAATATTAGAAGTGGAAGCTATTATTAGAAGAAATGAATACTGACTTACATGTTTCGTACAGCAATACTAGCAAACTTTTTTCGTCAGAAAACATTCAACAAAAATGCATTGCATCCACAGGGACTTCCTGAAAGCCTTAGGGTTATGTCTCATGGCATGAAGACGTTCTTAAAATGTATGCCTGATCTTTTTATAGGGCATATACAAGGAATACTTATTCCTAATAAGAGATGTTATACAGAATACAGTAACAAGATGCAGTCCTGTAAATATATATGTCAGTAAGTAATACCGAATGTGTTTATTCAGAAAAACTTTGCATGTTTGCTACTTTTCATAATTGCTTTCTGTCAAAGACCTAATTGTTACTTACCAGCTGTTTGTGTTTCAGTACTGTTCAGGTTAATAAATCCAGATAATTTTTCTTCTTCCTCCTTCAGTTTATATCCAAGCCTTTTTACCGAGTCTATGCTTCCACTGCACTCACTGAGTAGCTTCATCTGTGTTAACAAACAAAAAAATCCCATCTCAGTATGCACTGTACAGAACTAATTGCATGGAAAATGCAAATTACAATGCAACTTCCAAAATTTTCCAAAAGTAGGTCTAAGTGTGAAGATAAAAATCTATTACTTTAACAATCTGTCTTGGTACTATCAAAGAAGTATGGAGACAATAAAGGCTTAAAGCATATGTTCAGACTAAATAGAAATAACTCAGTGACACTGTGCCAAATCATGCTGGATGACTTTAGGTGCCAACTGTTCTAAATGTTAAGACACTATGGCAAAGACACTAGAAGATGTGATAAAGAAAATAAATATAATTGTGGAAATATTACTATGCATCCAAGCAGCTAATCTTTCAATCCTGACAGTAATAAAATTATTTGAATGATTTAGAGAGAGATTTTTCTTCCAGCAAACCTCTCCAAGAAAGCTTTTTAATCACAGATTCCATATATGCAACCTTGTTTACATGATGCAGATGAATACTTTGCATGAAGCTATAAAACCTGCTTTTAAAAGCAGAGGAATTTTAAACAAGGAGAAAGAAAGAAAACAAGTGAGAAAGTACTTTTGGACATCTGCAAAAAGGTAATAGGAAAATAAATTCCTAAGAGTCATGTTCATGTAATCTTATGCTATTGTAAACACAGTAACAACACAAACAACGATTGCATGTGGTTAAGGGCAGCAACCATACGAGTGAGTAAGTCTGCGAAGCAGCAGTTTCTTTGTTGAAACAGCTATATTTCTTTCAATAGGGAATCTATGCTTGGAGTTCTTATTCGACTTGTTTCTAAAATACACGCACATATCCTTTGTAAGTGGAATCCAGCTCTGGTCCTGTAGGTGTTTTGCTGCGGATGATGTTTTCTGTTTGCTGTATTTGGAAACGACTGGTGTCTAAGGCCTTGTCCAGCTGTCGGATATGTGCTTCAAGGGCACCAGGTTCTCCTGTACCAAAACCAAAAAAGTTACTGTCACCCAAGTTTTCCCAAAGCTTTTTTTTATCTTTTGCCCAAGCAGAATAAATATCAGGAATACCATCGACATTAGACAGTAAAGGTGAAATGTGATTGCAGCAGTATGAGTGGTACATCAAAGCAAACTGATAACTAGCTCCATTAGAGGATATTAGAGACCTTCAGAGGACAGATGACTATACCAATGAACATGCTCGCCATAAGCATACTATCAAAGAGTCCACAGTTTGAAGCAGGCTTGCGAACTATTCTGAAGTCACTTTTTCCCTCAGAGAATTCCTCACTTCTCTGAAGGGGAAAGACCTTGGCAAAGTGTGCTCTAACCTCACTGATTTTGGAGAACGCCTTGCTCCCTTTCACAAACACTTTCAAATAAAAACTTGTATCCCAAACTCCTGATCCAAATCTGGGTTTAAATTTGATTTATCTTCATTTCTCTTTGTATTACTTCACTAAAAAATAGTGGAATTTCAATCTACATGAAAGGATCCTGTTTGTATACAATTTTTAAGATTAAATGCAGTATACAAACACTAAGCAATACTGTTATAATTATATCCTCAGGGTCCATAGATGACTGGACATCTTGAAGGCCCATAGCAAGTAGTCCATGACTGATTTAGGCAACCACATTAAGCAGCAAAATTTAGAGTATATTTCCAATTAGGCATTTGACAAAAATTATGCTTAACATCTCTGCAACATGGTATTATTCATCCAGAATGTTTGGACCTCATACCAACACGTTTGAAGGAAGTCTAACTTGTATTTTCCTTATAGACGTCAGCTAAATTCTGTGATATGAATTAGCTACAGCCAATTCTAATCTGACGCATGCTGCAGCCTAGAAGACCACATGAGATCCCTCTTATCCATATTCTATCATTGTGCCTGATTTCATCTGTTTACAAAGACAGTTTAAATTTATTCATAAAGACACAATTAAAAACATGCATAGAGAAGGGGAGCCTTCTGTCCACCTAATTACAGAAAATGGAGCCTCTTGGATAGTTAATCTTTTTTCATACAAAACACTGCCTCACCCCAAATGGACAGAAAAAAGTGCTCAATATTGCTTTTCCCTCACTACTTTCAAAATTTTCATAGGTCAGAAAACTACACACATTTTTCTGTATGTACTTCTAGTCTTTATACTCTTAATCAATCTTAATATTATTGAATTAATTTGGTGAAAAAATAGAAAAGGACAGTGAACCTGAGGTCTGTGTCATAGATGCTGAGATTTTAAGTGTTTGCTATTTCAAATTTGCAATGAAGCCATCATTTCAAAAGAGGAAAACTGTGAAACCACGAGAGAAGGTATTTGTAGGTACATCTAATCCCTCCAAGAGGGTCATCTAACAAATGAAACAGTAGGTTTAATCTTGTGTAAAAATGCAATGTGAAAAAAAAAATCATCTTCCAATGCTGAAGACTAAGTTAAAGACATTGGACTACTGTAGCTCACCTTGGCATTGTTATCGCATGAAACGACAAATAACCTAAAAGTTTATATCTAAGTAATAATCCAAGCTGTGGCTGTGTATAAAAAAATAAGTGCAAAACCAAACAATTAGGTTTTGCTCTGTATCTTTTCCTTCTGCCTTAATCTTTGTAGAAACCACTCTTCTCTCAGAGACATAGCAAAGTATTAAGCTCTGTTGAGGGACTTCAGAGGACGAAGACCAATCAGAGTAACCCACTGATCGGTTCAGTCTAGTTAGCTGAGGTGGGGGGGCCAACACTTCAAGCATCATTGTTTCATCCATGCACCTAATACTACCTTTAAGCACAGTAGTAAAGCAGGATACTTCTACATTAACATGCCAATGCTGCCATGTAAGAAATATTTATCTTGTAAGTTGTAAAAAGTATAGCAGAGGCTAAGAGAAGAGAAAGAAGTTATGCTTGCGCACTGTGGTATTTGCATCTGGTTATGCTTAGTCTGTTTTGATGCCTACCAGAGGTATTTTTGAGTGCGTTTTCTGTGAGTGTTACATAGGCCTCAAGAGTTTCAGGGATCTCTACATCTGAAAAAATAAAAGCACAGTCTAAATTGACAGCTCAGCAATGGCTGTCTTCTCACAGCAGGAGTCCTTTTCATGGGATGGAATATATAAACAGTTCCAGTAGCAAACATCCTTGCTGGAGAAGGGAAAAGGATGAAGACAGAAACACAGGGAGCCTGCTACAAAGTCTCAATACCCAGGCAAACCTGACCCTTTTTCAGAGCAATGAACTGGAAAGCAAAAGACAGCCACAAGATCAGAGTATAATATACCAGCATGTCTTCCCCCACAGTTGGCTGCATTTGGGCACTTTCACTCATTAAGAGTTATTACGCAAAGCACACACACTTAGAAAGGATTTCCAACTTCACTGGAGAGCAAGACCCAAGATCCCACCTTGGGATAAACACTCAGTTGCTGGAGTCTTGCCTGGGTAAGGACTGAGTTAAGATTTTCTTAATAACTTGGTGATTTTGTCTGCAGATCTCTCCCACAGCATTTCTTCATCAGTTTGTTCTGCACTTCTTGCCATATCCAGTGTAGTTTCTCCTAGTCAGAATAACTTATGACGCATTGCTGTTACAGACAACATATCCCATCTGGCAGGCCGCAAGCATAGAGACACAGCCAATTCCCTGTCACATCATATATGCCTTTGCAATTTTCTAAGGCTGTAGTCATCCAGGAATCTCCATCTCTGTGTCTAAGGCCAGAAGACCACTGGGGTCACTTAGGGAAAGCTATTTAAAACCTTCAGGGGCTATCTAAAATACATTTCCATGAGCATCTTGGCCAAGCAATCACACATGCAATGTTTGCTTCTTTTTACTAGGAGAGAACAGGGGACACAAACTGCCACCATACCTGCTATACCAGTTGCTCCTCTCAGGTAGAAATCCTTCTCTTGCCCTCCGTCTTCTTCCTCAGAGTGCAGTTCCCGTGAAACGGCTGTCTCCAGGTCTCTGCTAAGGTCGTAGTCATGATCCCACTCCAGGGGAATGGAGTCCACGCTCGCAGGGGTATCTCGCCCTGATCGTTCGCTTCTCACCGGCTGGGAAAGAGGCAGCGAAATGTTGGAAGAAGGGTGTGGGGAGAGAACGCTGTCCGCAGATTTGTCATGCCAGTGTATGTCAGAGAGATCTGCTGATTCATCCAGATCCACCTCCCTGTCAGAGAGGTCATGTTCGTCATCTGTCAGCTAGAAGCATAATGCAAACAGAACAGATCAATGAAACATGCAGGGGCACTGCATGATCAGCCTGGGTCAATGAAATTAAGTAGCATCAGACAACAGTCACACTGATGGGGTTTCCATTTTGCATTCTTTTGCACTTCCCCTTCATTATTTGAAGGCGCACTAAAAACCTAAAGCAACAAAAAAGTTAGTAATGCCAGCTCACTTTAATTACTTAAGGCACCACCAAGTCTCACATCAAGCAAATGTCTCCAGATTTGTTATGGATACACTGTAATGCAGACATCAAGTTAAAGCAAATTCTGGAATCAAGTCATAGGAAGCATAAGTCACCTTTATCGTGACCACTGCTCTCATTATATTCTTTTATATTTTGAAAAACCTGGGGTTTTTTCCTTCCTTCAGTAAGACTTGAGGTACTAAAAATCAGTTTGCTCTCACTTACTCAGTTACGTGTTCAGTTCTGGAGACAATTTTCTGTCTCTTCTGATGGGGAGAATAATTTTACCATTGTTTCTTTAAACAAACCAGAACTCAACAAGCTGCCAGTGAAACTATCTGACAGAGCAGGGAGATGTTCTTATTACCAGCACCACACTGCTACCCCCATTAATAAAGTTTTATAAATCTCCAATTTGCATAGATTTTCATGACGATTTACAAAAATTCCAGACCTGGTGAGTTTGCTCTCTGAACAGGACATAAATAAGCATATAATGAAGGGAGGCAAATGGTCAGGGTTATAAAAAAATTAAACCACAGGATTTTTGGAAAGTTACAGAAGATTCATGTTAGTTCATTTCAACATCGTTCTCTCCCCTCATTCTCGCACTTACAAAATGGCAACAAACCAAATAAGTATGTATGTAATTATACACACAGGAAGGCGAATGAGTTTCTTGTGATAGCGTTCGACGCGGCCGAAGACCTCTTGACAGTAACGATGCAGCTCATCTAGTTCTTCTTCAATGACAGCTGCATCTATGGGCTCACTTTTCTCAATGAGTTGCTCACCCTGCACAATTATCTGCTCAATTTTGTTGTTGTTCAGTGAAATCTCTTGCTGGAAAGCCTGCATAAAAGAAAAGGCCATGCTTTATCAATGAGATCAACGTTACAACAACCTAAGTTATTAAGGATGCAAGTCTTAGGGTTTTTCAGCAAGAATGGTGTGGGTAACGAACAGGGATCATTCCAAATATTCTGGCATGAGCAACAATAAGCGATTAAATTTAGCATTCCACAGTCTTTCTAGCCAAAAACAGTGATACTTCATGGTTTACCATCTAATTCCTCACTTGTTGTGTTTGGAAAGAAAGCTCTTCTCTAAACAAGCCATGCCCATGACCAAATGTCTAGAATGAACACAGATGCTAAAGCTAGCACACTGGAATTTTGGATAGCATGACAGTTGGCATTTTTCTCTCCAGACAATGATTTTTCTGATGCAGAAATAGTTGACAAATGTAGTAATCCTTAGGTGTCAGTATAATGGAGACTTGACATTAACAATTTTTATCATCATTTATTCTTTTGATCAGGGAATGGAGACTGTCACCCTTGGTATTTTTGATAATTTTTCACAGTGCAAAGATCTTCCACTCCACTCTGTCTGAAAAGTACGTATTGAAACCTGACAGAGCCCATAACTTATGAGACTGAAGTCAGCCTGCAAGTAAGGGCTGTATTTTTGCATAATGTTTCTTAAATTCCTTTCCCACCATCAATATTTTTATCCCTTATTTCATCCCTCCCCCTATTACCATTCAATCATTCTTTACCTTAAGTTGTTTTATCTTTGCTTGGACATCACACTCTGAGAAATGCTCAATGTTGGTCAGCTGCAGGTCCATCTCTGTTAGCCATACCAGGATGCTATCACGTGCTGTCTCAAACTCCTCACGCTGGCCAATAAAATGCTGGGGGGAGGGGTAGAAAATGGGGTGGCATGAAGTGACCAAACAACCCAAAAACCCCAGCAATAGCGGTTTTCTGAAGAAACGGCTTTCATGCCCTTCAATCCTAACCTAAACTCAGTACACTCTCTTCTTTCATTTCCTACATGCTTTCTAAGGCTCCCTTTTCAGTAGTGTCATCAAGAGCTTCAATTAGCTGACACATGAAAGTTATCTTTTGTGAAGGAGGTGGTGTTTGAGGTCACCAAGCATTTCTGTACAGACTTCATGCTTTGGTTACCTCAGACAAAGTGAACTGATAAGCTGCATTCCTTTTCCAAAGGTACAAATCCCCTCAAAAACACTGTCCAAATGCATTAAACTGGAAGTTTCTGGAGTACCCCGATACATAAGAATAATAGTGAAACTGAAGGGCTTAAAACTGGAAAAATACTTTTAGCCTGCGCAGGATGGAGGTAACTCGCTTTTGTAAGTTGTCCCATCTCTGGTTCCCCTCATGAACCATCTGCTTGAGGCTGCAGTCAGAGTCAGTGCGGTTCTCCCGGGCCAGGCGGCGATACTGTTTATTGATCAGTTCCAGCTGAGTCAGACATTCATGCACTTGTCTCTGGAAGGCCTAAAGCAATATGAACAAAAGACACCATCAGATTTTTAATTACTGAAATCAGGATGCATATGTAAGTCTCTGCCTTTATTTTGACCCTACTTCTACACTCTGACCTGTGTTAGCTGATAGATTTTGCTACGAATGCAGACATCTCCTGAGGGCTGTTGTATTGAGAGGCTGCCTTCTGATTAAAACGAGCAAAAAAAGAACAAAAGTTTACAAAAATGACATAATTCACTGAGTGAGAAATTGCAACATGAATACCCATTATAATGGCAAAATCAGCACAAAAAAAATAGATTGCCCTTTCTACTCAACTATACCCCTTTGTATTTGAGAACAGAAACACAAACGATGAATATGAAACTTTTTTTTTTTTTAAATGAACAGAAACCCAAGATTCCTGCGGCGTCATTAGATTTTCTTACATGTACTGAATTTGCTGAAGCGCAAACATTGCAAAGTTTTGAGCAATTGTTTATTCTGAGTTTTACCAAAAATAGTGAAAGATGACACTGAAGGATTCATCTCTTTATCTTCAGTATACTGGTACACAAGTAAGTTTTGTCTTAAAATTTTCATGGAAAGAATATTTCATGAAAATCTGTACCAACTTATTCCTGGGCAAATGTCTGCACTGTGCACTTTCAGTGCTTCCTCTACTGTTGCAAAAGCCTCAGTCACCCAGCTGGAGAGCAGAAACAGTAGGTGACTTAGCCCATGAGTTTCATGTTGTGACTAGCAATCACAAAGCAAGTTGGAGAAACCACCTTGTAAGGAGCTGACTGAATTAATCCCTTCAAAAAAAAAAAAAAAAAAAAAAAAAAGATGAATCATTTTAAAAAAAAATACTAGTTTTTATGTTGTCACAGAAACAGAAAAGCAGTCAATCAAAGGAAGACTTAAAAACATAGACTACACCAGCTTTCTTGAATACAAGTAGGTTTTGGCCCACTGTAGTTCTACGAACTTGCTTTTTGATATTCCTCACAATGCAAATAACCAATCTCTCCCAAAACTAGACACCACCCTTACTAAGGACTGGGTAAGTGTGATAGGCAATATACTTCTGTACAGAAATTTTCATTAAAATGAGCTAACACATGAGATTTCTACATAAACAATATATACTCTTCATATTGTACCAGTCAACGCTAAAAATGAAATAAGCACATTTCTGCTGTAATACCAGAGACAAAAGCAAAGAAGCTGGTTTGAAAAAAGAAAAAAAGATCAAAGTCTATAGATCCCTTTGAATACAAATACTCCCTTCATTTAATGGCCATCAAATTGGGTAGGGGACAACCAACAAGGAGCAAATGGGCTTGAAACTCGAGTGAAACACTCAGTAGAACTGAATTCACTTCAAATTGCACAAGGAGGCAATTCTCGTATCAGAGGCACACATCTGACTGTGTTAACTAGGATCATGAAATCTAAAAGTGTGCAGTTGTTGCTTCACCTGTTACCAAGCCTTGTCCGGCAAAAGAACAGCTGTGTATTTGTCTTCCATTTTTTCAGCTCAGCTACATAAGAATTCATCTGCTGCATTCCTTCCTGTAACTTCTTTTCACTTCTCCATAAACTACTCTTTGATTTTGTACAATGAAGTCAGTGAGAGCCATCTCTAACCCTTGTGCTCAGGTGCTTACATGGTCTGCTGCGCTCTTTTTTTTTTTTTTTTTTTTTTTTTTTTAAATCAACTGCAGATATGGACGGGAAAATAAAATCAGAAAAAAAATTATCTAGTCAAAGCAGAAACCCGCTTCAGTTAGTATGTATATGTGGCTGACTTTATACTGACTTCACAGCGAAGTTGCTGAATTCTGCTGAATTTGAACACCA